AATAAGGTAATAATATTATAAAAGATTAAAATTTAATATGTGATGACATACGAATTCTACTGATAATAGGTATAGTGTTTGTAGTAATCATTGTAAAAGAATTTTACCCTTTGGATCTTGATTTTTCTTTCCAATTCAGCAATGATTGTATTATCATCAGTAGTCTTTGAGATTGAGTAACCATCAACTTTGTTTTTCAAATTGTCATGCAAAATTTGAATTTTGAACGCCAATCTTCTTTCCAAAAGTGAATTCAAAGCAGATGGATAAATCTCGGTATTACCATCCTAAAATAAAATAAAAAACAAACGTTTATAAAAAATACATGTACAAAATAATAAATGAGTTTTATGTAAATGAAGTTAATATCAATAACCTCATAAAACTGATGAAGCAACCTTGTGCGGTTTTTTGCAGAAGCTTCTTTGCGTCACAGTCAAATAAAGTAAGTGACACCAAACCGGTAATGTCTTGCACTATAATGGTGATTTTGAAGCTGAAAGCATTCATGTAAAAAGATTTAGTAATATAAATTTATAAAAATTAACAGAACATTATAATAATATTTATAAAAGAAATATTAAAACCTTGGAACAACAAATATGTCTTTGTTACTGCAACTTGAAGTGTAACAATAAAAAACTTCTTCATCTTGAAGCTGATCATCATGCATTCAAACAACTTTAATGACTTTCTGGTGACATGTAGTACAAGCGAAATAATACCATTCCGCTTCAGCACATACTTGTTTAATAATACCGACAACAATCAATGTTTTTTCCTAAAAAATATTAATGTAAGTTTAAATTTTATGATAAAAAAAGAATAATGAAAGATTAAGACATAAATAATACATAAACAATTTCACATAATCTCTATATTATAAATGAAAGTGACGTATATACACCTCATGTAGTTGTTGGAGATCAGCAATAGTATGGAAATCAAACTTATGAAGGAAATCTTCATTTTCAGAGTAGACGATCGAGGACGAAGGGTTGCTACAATTAGCAACTGTGCTTTGTGCCATGTATCTGTTTGTGGGAAAAATAATGATTGTTTCAAGTTAAATGTTTAGGAAGTATAACGCTAAAATGGGACTTCTATAAAAAAAAAAAAACTTTTGCAAGTGTGTTTCTATGATTAAAGGTAGAAAGCGAAAAAAAATGCAAATTTGTCGTTATAAAATGTAAAGTAAACAGAAATGTATAATGCAAGGGCATTTTGGGAATGTTGGTATATATATTTTTATTTTCTCCTATTTATAATATTATAAAAGAAAAAAACATTTAGGAAGCCTTTATACATCAATTTATGAAGCCTTTATATATTTATAAAAGAAAAAAACATTTAGGAAGCCTTTATACATTTAGGAAAAAAACATATTATGTTTCATATTAGAGCATATGTACATGGGCAAAAACTTCATAACAGTGTATTTGGAGTTTGATCAATCAATTTATGTTCATCTGTTGTGAAGTTTTTAAAAAATTAAACGAAAAAAAAAGTATACTCCGGCTGCTAATTCAGTATAGTTTGTTCATAATATATAAACAATGAGAATAAAGAAGTATAAACAAATGAGAATGAAGTAGGAAAAAAAATAAGTTCAAATCATAGATACGATTCCATACATGGTTCAATATAGTTTGTTCATAATATAACAAAAAATTAATGCAGGGAAAGGAAAGTGAAACCTGTTATGGATGATTGTTGATGGACGCTAATAGGAAGAGTGAATAGAGGTTGAAGAAAGTTAAATTTTTTCGTGATTTGTATGATAAAGGATTATTAGTAATCAACTGATTTAACCTCTAACATATTATGTTTCATATTAGAGCATATTAGAGCATGTATACAGGGGCAAAAACATCATAAATGTGTATTTGGAGTTTTGATCAGTTTTGATTCATGTGCTGTGAAGTTTTAAAAAAAAACAAACGAAAACAAAAAGAAGTATACTCCGGCTGTTGATTCTGTATAATTAGTTGATAATATATCAACAATGAGAATGAAGAGGTATAAACAATGAGAATGAAGCAGGAAAAGAAAGAAGTTAAAATAATATGTTGTTTTCACGATTCCATACATGATTGAATATAGTTTGTTCATAATATAACAACAAAAATAATGCAGGGGAAAGGAAAGTGGAACTTGGTATGGATGATTGATGGACGCCAACAGGAACTGTGAATAGAGGTTGAAGGAAGTCAAACCACTGAAAAGTTTAATTTTGGATATAAATAATGAAAGTAAGCTTATTAATTTTGGGGCCTGATTCTTCCACGGAAGATTTTTATTCAACCACTGAAAAGTTTAATTTTAGGGAGCTGATTTTTCCAATTTATATTTTAATCCTGCCAGTGAATAATTAATGTATGGACCAATATACCCCTAAACTCATTTATGATATTGAAGAGGGAGAAAGATTAAAACCATATTACCTTTTTTATGGGAAAAATCTCACAATTATATATGCTTAAGATTTGAATAAGTTTAAATGAATAAATGTGGAGAGTTGATCAACACATTTTGAATCAAAATCAGTTCAAGTTTAAATTTTGAATCCGAATCAAAGTCAATTCAAGTTTATATTCAAGGTTAACATATAAAAATCAATTCAAGTTTACATTAACAATCAAATAAACAGTTAACATAATGAAATCAAATTCATTGTTTACAGTTAATTTACATTTAAGGTTAAAAGTTAACAGAATCAAAATCAATTCAAGTTTACATTAAAGGTTAATGGTTAAAAGAATCAAAATCAATTCAAGTTTACATTCAAGGTTAAAAGCATCAGAATTAATTCAAGTTTACACTCAAAAATTGGAGTTAAGTGTTTGAAAGTGGGGTGAAGCAATGTCGTCTGAGGAAGATTTCTTATTGTCCTGCATTAGGGGTTCAAAGCATGGTCCTGTGTTTTTGGAAAAAAAATGGGTTATGTTATGATATATTCAAATTATATATGAAGAGGGGTATAATTGGCCAACCTTTAATTATGTAGTGGCAGCATCAAAATATTTAAGTGTAAACAAACAGATCTGATCAATTACACCATGCACACTCTCATGAAGTTGTATGTAAATTAAAACAGTGTGTAAATGAAACTATTAATGAAGATTCAGAATTAAAATTGAAATGTCAGAATTAGAAGAGTGAGGACGTCTGATTTTGTACTATGAAATATTTTTATTGTGTATTATGGAGATATACATGTGACACTCCTTTTAATGATCATGAATAAGTAAATTAGAGAATAAGAAAATCTTATGTAGTAAGATGGTTTGCATTATATAACATTTAAACTTTAGATGTGGAAAATCTATCCACCATTCCATCAGTTTTCTTTAAATTTATATTCAAAGAAATACGTTGTCTAAATAAAATATTGAAATAATAATACACATAAAATCCTAATAAAATTTTGCCAAACAAAATGTTGATATCATATAAATAATTCAACATAAATCTGAAATTGCCTTACACAAGACGAATACTATTGTGTTAAAAACAAACGAAAACAAACATAAACTTCAAAATTGTATGATCACATACTGATGAGAAATTCTATCGAAATTGCATCCGTTTAATGCAACAGATCCTTCACCATATTCTTCATTATTATCATGATCATGTTTAAGCATATTAGTAACTGGTCCAGAGTCAAACTCAAAGCCAATAGCTCTTAGATGTTTATCAATTGAGTATTTGCGAACTGTTTTTGTTATGTTCAACCTGTTTTGCAAATGACAGAAACAAAATAGGGAAAGAGAATTTTAATTTGATGACTAAAATGTAAATTAATAATTAAAAAGTAAGATCTTGAAACTTACCGTTATAGTACATCACTCAAATAATTAAAAAGTAAGATCTTGAAACTTACCGTTATAGCAAAAAAGAAGTCAATAACAGCTGATAATAATGGCCTATGAAGAATAAAAAACAAAAGCATAAAGGTTAATTGCCCTTTGTCGTCGGCCTCACCAAGTTTTTCCACAAAGAAAACTCGATTGCAAATACGAAATCCTCCAGAAGCCGAATGTTGGTATTTTAGAACTTTAGTGTTTATTGCAAATTGAATTTATAACAACTTTAGTGTTTATTGCAAACTGAATTGTGTTAGAATAAGGATCAATATTGCTATTCCAAAATATACCATTTTGTTAAAAACTTTATATCTGAACACATACACTCACAATTGTAAATATACACTTTTCCACAGGTGCACCATATTATCAAACATCCTTGTGGTATATTATTCTTTTTTCAGTTTTGTCCAAGGGCAAAATGGTCATTTAAAATTTTTGACAGCTATGGTTCCTTTAAAAAAATAGGTAATGTGCTTAAATTGCAGTTTACTCTTAACTTTAATTGCCTTTTTACCTTGAAGTTCTTCTCAAATGCAGCTAGCTGAAGTGATCTAGATTTATGATTTTCTTCTAGAACTTTCATGAGTTTGGTAGCTTGCTGACTCAGATTGCTGAAGAAACCACTTACTGCCCTTGATATTTCGTGTTAATTCTCTAAACTTTTATGTAGTCCCTACACAATTAAAAAACAAATATCAGATATAAACTATGAAAGGTAATAAGAGAATTATAAAATTTAAGAGTAAAAATATGAACACCCTTGTTGTGTTTGTACCTCTTCATGTTGTTGAACAGATAAAGACAACATCTACTTCTTCTGATGGGCTATAAAAAATAAAACGGATAGTGAAGTCATCATGCTCAGAACGAATGGCTCCAATGTGATTTATGATCAAATAATGTCGCTGATAAGTGAATCATGTTAAGGAAATTGCAAGAAAGATGACTTAAAACATTATATTTTTTTTCATATGAATCAGTGTAAATATACCTGTAGAATCAAATAAAATTATAAAATAAATGAAATGGAGGATATTCTTGAACTTCACGAGGTATTTTTCTTTCTCTAAGCCAACAACCAAAGTATTCTTCGCTCCTTCCTTGTGTTTCTGCATGCTGTGGCACTGGCTACCTGAAAATTTCTCAGAAATTATTCAACACAAATTACAAAGTAATAATCAATTAATGAGAAAGCAAATTGGATTACATTTCTGCAGAATCAAAGAAGTTGATTCCGGAGTCGAATGCTTTGTCGAGGAGTTTGAAGGACTGTGACAACGAATTTTGCTCACCGAATGTCATCGTCCCTTTCAAAGAAAAAACAAAACAAAAAAATTGAGTCCATTGTTACTCTATAAAAGGGGGAAAAGGTTTAGGACAACCTAAACAGAGCTTTTAAACAAGGAGACTGGGAGTGAGATTTAAAAGAGGGACAATAATTTTAGCCCAACTGCAACCAATCTCCACCACCACCACCTATAAATTACTTAACATAACCCGTGAGCACCACCAACACTCCTTTTTCAAAGTTTCTAGAGGATTTGATGTTGTAGTCCCTTCTTACTGGTGCTGGAAACCAATGGAGTTTTCGGGAAATCATTAACCTTTCCAGCCAATTGCTACCTTGCCCTATTCATTTGACAATCTACCAGTTTCAGACCTTGAAGGATTCATAAATTTCTTCAATCCCTTCCACCTGATAATGTATAAGAACAAACAACTGTTTCTAAATCAATACAACAAAATTTTATATAGTTGCAGAAATAATCAATAGTAAAATCATTACTGAATCACACATAATGGCGTTATCAATGATAGTGCACAAGACATTATAGTTTTAATTTAACATTTATACAATAAAAACAACGCTTCACCAAGAGCGGGAATCTGAGGTTGAGTTTTTCAATACTAATACGATAGGAAGATAAACAATCGAATTGGAATAAAATCAATTAACATATAGTCTCAACAGATTTGAGAGTATCATTTAACTATCGTCTCTTCTGTTAAAGGTTTGGAAATCCATGAGTATTGAATAGTGATCTGAAATAAAAATAAATGAAAATAGGGATTACTTGTTTAAACACCGTCGAGATAGAGAGATCAAAGAGGGTTGATGACCTGATTTCTTGCCTTGTTGGTGTTCTTTACTTCTTCGCACAACATAAGTCGCGTGAGAGATTGAAGGCGGATGAGTTTGTGGGGAATGACGATGGAGAAGAGCCCAGTTGGTAGTGAGGGAGAGATAAGGTACACTTAGAAAGAGCAGCAACAGAACCCAAGAACCCTATTATCGTTGCCATAACAATTCTCCAATTAAACTCCAATTTCTGAATGAAAACATCAAAGATGAAAAACCCATTCGATTATAGAATCAAAATCGTCAACGATCATAATTACAGGACTTACAGGCAAGATTCTGTTGTCCGCGGAAGAACACATAGTAGTGGGGAAGAAGAATAATCTTGGATCGATTTGATGTATGAAATCGATGGGGTGACCCTTTCTGATGTTGATCGAAGGAAGCGATTGTGTTTAGAGAAAAGGGAGGGAGAAAAGTAAGAAGATCATGGCGATTCTGGCATGATTGAAGTAAAAATAAATAATTAGGTTACAATTGAGAGAGAGAAAGAGGGTAGATGACGAAAGAAAGAAAAATAAGCGTGTAATTGAACTTCTCGCGATGAAAAGGATAACGTCAGCAAACAATCAAGGGTGAGAAATTAAGGATTAAAATGTAATAAAGGGTCCTGATTTCCTAAGATTAGAATTTAAAGTTTTCTTTTAATAATATTTAGAGATTCAATCGAACTCATCATCATAATTCATTTTTATGTCGTCTCAAAGAGTAGACAGTGAAATAAAAAAATGATTTTTTTTTTCTTGACTTTATGGGCTAAGGGTTCGGTAGGATAGCTAGGTAAACTCTAAGTTATCAAATTTTGTACTATGCTAATTTTGTCATTTTATTCTTGCTTACTAGATTTTTTTTTTTTTTTTTTTTTTTTTTTTTTTTTTTTTTTTTTTTTTTTGTATTTGTATATTACTAGTTACATCAATTTTTTTAGGAACAAGGTTACATTATTTGCTTTATGAATCAAACGAACAAGTTTTACTAGGTAATAGAATTGAAAAAAGTTTGTATCTTATTTTATTATAATTATTCAACTTTTAATATCTTCAATAGTTTTGTTAAAAGAACATATACCCATTATATTAGAATATACATCATTCTATTAGAATTTACATCATTATGTTAGAATAGTATTGTAGGTTAACGATTCATTAATGGTGAAAACAAAATTGACACATGGTCATTATGTTAGAATATAAATCAAATCATTATATTATAATCTTATAACAAAAAATATAATATACATTATGGTTTGGTTGATTTGGTAGTCATTCGTGAATTTTGATTTTTTGGATTGTCATAATATTTAGGTTTCAATTTAAAATGTTGAATATCGTTTGATGTTGATATTCTTGATATTTGTTCGGCAGTCTCATAATGCTAAGAATGATTAAAAAAATCCAAGATTGATTCAAAAATACCAAATATTTCGATATTCAAGAAGCCAAAATGATTTCAGACATAAAAATAGTTCGACATTCAAAAATCCACGAACAAATGTGTTTTGATGCTCTCAATGAACATGTGAGATAAGAAAAAGAAGATGATGAATATTGCTGCTCTCAACTTCATGAAAAATCAACATATTCTTATTTTTATTCATGTAGTTTACTTCAAGAATGTTTTTCTAAATATCATTCTTCTAAGAATGAAAAATAGAAATTGTTATTCTTTTTAAGATTTTTTAACCTTTTGATGTAGACTAATTCATAAAATGTAATTATATGACATGTTATTAGTTTAAAAAATGTTTTTGTGTATTAAATTCTGCCAAGAATGCATTTTTGAAAAAAAATGATTTCATATTTATAAGCATATTCTTTCAAAATACACACCATACTTATTAACATATTCTGTCACAATGTCCGAATTAAAAGAATCATTATTATCTATAATAAGATTTTTAAAATTAATAAAATCAACTATCCCATAAAATCTGGATTTTTTTTAAATCTAGTTTAATTGACTAAAATACCCTTATAATGAAATTTATATTATTATATGGTATATGTTATTCCATTTTAATATGATAGACCTTCAAATCGTAGCCAATCATTTATTTCATCTATTGGCCCATAATCGTTCCTACAACCACACAATAATTGTTGTTCACATTATAACCTAGCATATATATATATATATATCTATATATAATAGATATATATATATATATATATATATATATATATATATAGAGAGAGAGAGAGAGAGATAGGTTCAAATGTTTTTAACAACTATTGTGTTACTGAATGTACCAATTAGAATTTAAGAAAAATTTTATCATTATTAATTAATATAAGGGTATAATAGTAATCTTAGTTATATATAATTATAATAAATATTTAAACCATTTAATATCCTTTAATTTAGTAAAATCAGTTTTAAAACCCTATATATCATCGGCCCCCTTTGTCGAAACGCATAACTAGGTTCATCACAATTGTCGGCACCATCCACCATCGTCAATCACCTCTCCACCAAGTAATTTGAATGTGCAAATAAAAAAATACGTTGGAAGATGGGGCTGCAACAAAAATAATGGAAGGTATGGATATATAGTTTATATTAAATCTCAAGGTATGTGAAAGATAGAATTATAAATTGTTTATTGCAGGGCGATAAATTCTGTTTTCCATTTAATAGGTAATGCTTGGTGGATCGACTATTCATTACTATAGAATAATTTGATTTTACTCTTAATTCAACTATGTTTTGTTGTTGTAGACGATTTCGTTTCACTGATTAGTTAATTTTTTTATTGTCATTTATACTAAACACAATTATTTTTTATTTTGGTTTTAATTTGTTGAGCACACTAAGAATAAATTACAACTTTGAATTCAACATGATGTAGGTTTTAATTGCTACTTTACCTCCTTGTTTATATAGTTTTATATTATTCTTTGAATTGCCTATTAGTTTGTTGTGCAATTTATGAACCAGTAAGATCACATGGTTGAAGTTAATTGCTAATATATGTATTTTTGAGATTTTATATAATTTTTTGCCCTCTAAATGTTCGATGGAATGCCAATAAGACCCCATCTTTTTTCATTGCAGTCTTAGGATTACATTCTATTAGAATAAATTGCAATTCTTTAATGTCTACTACATTTTGTCAGATTTATAGTTTTTATAGTTTTATTCTCTTAGATGCACTGGAATTTTTTAATATTTGAAAGTTGATTATGTTTTCTTTGTGGATTTAGGTTTTGAAGAGGTTGTCATTGATGTGGAAAAAGAAGAAAAACATAGAGAACAATAATGTATTCTACCATAATGTATTCTGCTACAATGTATAAAGTGTTTCTTAACATAATATTCTTGAGAATTGATTAGTGTTTTTGTTAGATTTTTATGTTTTTTTTTTCTTTTTTTTAACCATTCTTAGTTTTAATCTTTAAGAATAAATGTAATTCTTAAACCATTATTAGTCTTTTTTTTCCAGAATGAATGTAAGGTCATTCGGAATACAAAGCACGAGATGGCTCGTGGTATACGTGGACCACGACCACGACCGTGCACACCATCCCGATCGATCGTGGTCGGTCGTGGTCGTGAAGTTTCGTTGGTGTTCCACGAAATCAAACGAAAATAAGCTATTGGTTGATGTTTGCAATGGCTAGTTTCTTTTGTAACGGAATATTTATTTTATTTTTTTTACCTTTCAAACATATTAAACTTCTTCTATAAATACCACACTTATATTAAACATACTCACACAATTTCTTCTTTCTTTTCTCACAAAATCACATACTTCTTTTGCATTCTTCCAAAACCAATAGCTCCTAAAAGGATGAATTGGTCAGAAAATAAAGAAGAGAACTTAGCACGAGCATGGGTAGCGGCTTTAGAAGACCCGATAGCGCCTCCTAATTTTTGGATAAAAGTTGGAAACGTTTTCCATGATTTAATGGGTTGCCAAAGTCGTAGTCTTGATGAAATATATTTGAAGTATCGCGATATGAGGGTTAAATGCATTGAATTCAATAGTATTTATAATTTTGTTATAAACAACGTACACAAAGGCGACCCGTTTGTTGTGGTCATGCACCAATATGAAGACACGAAACACACACCGTTTAAACACGTCAATGTTTTGCGAAAATTAAGAGAGTGCCCAAAATTTAGTGATTCAAAATAAGGTTTAAAAACTAGTTTAAGTTGTTTGCGGTTGCATTTTTAAGGTTTTTTTTTAATTTTATGTTGTTCGTTTTAAATTAATTTAATCTTGTTTCATTGAATAAAAAACTAGTTTAAAAAAATATGTTTTATTGTGTTTTTGAATTAAATTTAATTAAAAAACATATGTGTTACTGAGTTTTAATGTATTTTTGAATTAAATTTAAATAAAAAAATGAGGTGGAGTGACATGTTTAGTGGTAGGTATCCCATGTTAGTGGTAAGGGAATGTGGTGCTGATGTGGCACCCACCACATATGTGGTATGTGGTGGGTATAACGGATGGTCTAGTAATTGTTTATAGTCTTATTCTTTACTAATTAATGTAACTAGTGATTTCTTAAAGAATAAAATCCGTATTCTTTAGAAAATGTTATTATTGATAATATGTTGTATAATTCTTTAAGCATGTTAATTTTAAAAAAATATGTTGAATGTAATCATATTCTGCAATAATAAAATCGAAAATATATTTACTAGTTTGTGGTTGACTTTCTGTCATTCTGACAGAATAAAATCGATTATTACTAAAGGTTATATTAAAATTAAATTTGAATTAATTTAAAAAATTCAGATTTAAAAAAATAAGGGGATTAAGTATCCATTAAAATATGAAAATTTCCTTATTTTAATATAGGTTAATTGACTAAAATACCATTATGCTGAAATTTGAGTGATTATACGATATATGTTATCATATGGTAATATCATAGACCCTCAGATTATGACCATTAATTCTATTCCATTTGTTGGTCTAGATTTGTTCGTACAAGCACACAATAGATGCTAGAAACACAATATATATATATATATATATATATATATATATATATATTATAATATATATATATATATATACACACAAACACACTTATAAAATAGGCATTTTTACTTGCACCACATGTATTTGAAACCTCCATGACTTTTTAATTTCTTTCTAATAATTGTTATAAATTTGTTAATAATATTAAGTTAATGCAAAAATTAAATTCTAATCATAAATTAACTAAACTACAATATTAAAATATCATATTTTACTTCTATTTATAAAATTATGGCTTTAACTTTTTAACATATTGTAGTTAACTTATTACTATAGATATGTTGTCGTATTTGAGCAATTGTCATTTTAAAGTCACAACTTTTATATAATTTATGATTTTATGCAAAATAGTTAAATTTTTAATTTCAATATTAATGTTAAACGGTTAACTTAAATCAAAATTTCAATTAAACTTGAAAAAATCGAGAGACTGTTTTATAAATCGTTAAAAGTTAAAAATTATAGTGTTAAACCTAAATTGTAATTCTAAATTAACAAAAAAATAAAACATGAAACTATTTTTTATAATCATTAAGAATTTTCAAATAAATA